CAATATATTTGTATGGTTATGATAAAATGGGTGAGTCCACACCTATGCTCATCTTGAGCTTTCCTCTATGTGCAGGGGAGGCTGCACAAAAGACAAGTAGGGCTAGATCTGTTTTCTAAACTCAATGTAATTATTTTCATGCATTCTCTGGGTGGGCATATTTCTTGGAGTAAAAATTGCTTATGCTTATTTGACTGAATAGAAACTAGCTGATGTGAGCCACTGTTGCACCATATGGAGACTTTAATGAAAGCAAGCAAATCAGTTGTCATGTCTAAATTTTGTTATCCCAGTGTAAGTTTGCATGCACACTAAGGCTCTGTGCTCGTGAGCTTGTGCTGATGTGTGTTTGTACCCATGCATGGAGGTGAGGGTGCCTGCTATCTTCCCAAAAAGCATTGTCTGTGGTTGCAACACAAAATTAATGGATTGGAGTTTCTTTAAAGGGGAAAAAGAAAAGCTGTGAATTGACCAAAGAGACGGAATTTGCTTTTGAAGAAATGTCACGGCTGTTTACAGGATGTGTGTTTGCATTTCATTTCTTCCTAAATGGAGAAATCTGGACGAACTCTTAAAATTAGGTTTCTGCTTAATATTTAGATCCAACTTCTTTCATTTTTTTTTTTTTTAATTGGACTGAGTTGATAGAGAAGTCAGAAGACAGCATGCACAAGGCATGTGGCATGTAGAGAGAACACCATGGCATGTAGCATGCTGCATTTCCTGCAATGCCCTCAGCTGCAATCAGGAGGTGTTTTTGTATTTTACCCACCCTTCTCTGTGCATGTCTATTCAGTCACCAAAATGAAACTTCTAGGCATTTAAGTGCTTTGCCTATGTGAATAGCAATCATTTCCACAAGGCATCTCACTCTCCTCCACAGCTCCAGAGGTGCTGAACAACCAGAGATACACACTCAGCCCTGACTACTGGGGGCTAGGCTGTCTCATTTATGAAATGATTGCTGGGCAATCGCCGTTCCGTGGAAGGAAAGAGAAGGTGAAGAGGGAAGAAGTGGACAGAAGAGTGCTGGAGACAGAGGAGGTGTACTCCCATAAGTTCTCTGAGGAGGCCAAGTCCATCTGTAAAATGGTAAGGGGCTGGACAGCCCAGTGGGGCAGCTTCACTAACGAGCTGTGTCTGACACACAGTGCCATAGAGGGCTGCAGGAGCAAGGACTAACCAAGCTCATCTGTGGATGGGATGATTGCACTCTCTATTCATTCAAACTGTGTTTATTTGGGCTTGTTTCTCCATGAGATTCATCAGGTCATCCTGAGCCCTCTCCAAAGTTTTATGGCCAAGGGAGCGGTATCTATTCTCATGAGACTTTGAATGTTAGTTTGCAGTCAAGAATGCATTTCTGTCTTTTATAAGCTTGTAGAAAAAAATAAAAAGGACTTGATGATGCAAGAATCTGATTGTCTCCTGCAAGGAACTGCAAACCCCACGCTTCCATTGTCTTTGGTGAGAGCTGGGGGTAAGCAGGACAAAGATTATGCAATGAAATATTGTGACACTCAAATGTTGTCCCAGCCCATCTCACTAACTTTGTTAGCAGCTTTTCCCCCGGGGTGCCAGGGTATCCAGCTTTTCTTAATACTGTTGAGCTGTTCTTCAAAATGTTTTCTCGCTCCTTCAGCTGGGAGTCATTTTCCTAGCACAATAGCCATGTCTGACAATGGAAATCCTCAAATCCTCTGAGAAATCTCAAAGCTGCGTCTGAATTCATCAATGTCTTGTTGACATCCATCTTTAGAAGGCTGAATTGTAATTTGGAAAAGGATGTGGCCTTTTTCTGGGTGTTGTTTGTTAACGAGTGAAGACTCCTTTGGAGACAATGACCTATTCTGTGTTTGCTGGTAGAGGGAGAACGAAAGGGAGGAAAGGTCAACAAATAGGTAGGGAGAATTCCACCAATGTCTTGTGCAACAGGCAAGCAAAGAGCACATCCACAGCACTCTGGTTGGCTGGCTGCATGAAGAGACACTGAAGTCTCCTTGCAAAATAACAATGGTAGCACTGCCAAGTATCATGCCTGGAAGTCATTAGCTCACAGTGCACCAAGTCATTCCTGAATCCTCGAGGTGGTAATTAGCTGACATCACTCTTGATAGATGCTCCGGGCCATTCGCTGCCCTTAGTTGGTGATGCAGAGCCCCCAGTGAAGCTGACACAGGAGGATCTGGGCTCTCACAGACCATCCCATGTGCCCCAGCAGGCTGCCTTCTCTCCTCAGGGAGCATCTCAGCTCTCACCAGGTGAGCAGCAGTGTCTGCTGGAGTGGCAGAGAATTCATGCATGTCCTGCTGTTAATCTGAAATGGAGATGTGGGGTAAACATTTTACCTTGCTGCTTGAGGCACAGAATCAGGATTGCTTGGGACCTTTAAAGGTCACATAGTCCAACTTCCCTTTTCTGGCTGACATACCTGTAGAAGCCCTTCTTGTTACTCTTTAAGTCCCTTGCATAACAGAATGAGCATATACTTTGAAAATAACGACGAGAACTTAAAGCTGAGAAGAAATCAATGTAGCATTGATGGGATAGGGCTGTAGATAACCTACCACACTCCCGGGGAGCAAACAGTCATCACATTGCAGTGGCCATTTTTCACCACATTGCAGTGGCCATTTTCATCTTCCTGCCATGGAGACTCTGGTTTCACGGAGTCGTGACCTCAGGAGATCATCCAGTTCTGTCTCTTGCCTCAGGGAAGTTTGGACTATATATAAATTATTCCTGAAAACTTCATCACTACTGCTTCCCTGTCCAATCACGTGGCATGGTTATTGAGGTGGTTTGTGCAAGCTATTAAAAGATCCAAAGACAACCTTTCCCTTTCTGAGCACTAATATCTTGAGGCAGGAAGAGTCTGAGTCCTGATACTGAGTGTGGTGGCATTTGTGGTTTCCCATCCAAAAGTAATTTATTTTATCAAGTGATGTTTTTTAAAAAATCCATTATTCAATCATATTTTCTCAAATTCTTTTTGCTTTTTATATTGAAAGCCAGAACTTTGTTGCTTTGCATCAGCATCTTAACAAGGAAACAAAGGAATAATAAAGTACCCATCATATCTGCAAAATTAAGCAAAACATTGTAATACATAAATGAAACTTGAGCCTTCTGGAAGATCCAACACAAAAGGCTTTCCCATAGTGGACTCTTCAGGGCAGGAGTGAGGAAATGTTTCCCACCATGTTGCCCAGCTTTCTCTTCAGAGCTTCCTGCATGAGCTAAGAGCATCATTGCCTTTATTAATTTACTCATAGGAAAACCCTCTAGTGTCACCCCACGTCAACCTTCCCCTCCTGCATGTTTGTGCCCTTTTGCATTTTTGCAGGCACATATCATTGCTCCCATTAATCATCATCCATCCCATATTTCCATGTTTCATTTTGTAAGTAATTTCCCATAAATCAGACCTCATTTTGGACTGAAACAGAGATGAATAGCAAATAATTAGGAACAGGGGCAGCTGACTTTCTGGGAAACTCCCCAACCCATAGTTCCCATATAACATAGCTGCTCCTGGTGTGTTTTTTCTGTGAAAAAATCCAGTCTTTCTAGGAAATGCTCTGTGTTTGTTGTTGTTGTGCCTCGTACTTCATTGATGTACATGCATGTTTTCCCTGACAAGTGCAGTCATGCATCCAAAGATGTGACTTGAAGTTCATTCAAGTCAGCAGTGTTGGATGGGCCCACATTGCTGTGCTCCTCTGTCACTCTGTCAGTGCCCTGCTTGTCTGCATTTCCCACAGACTCATCTTCCCTGGTGCCTTTGATCCCTGCAGCTCCCGTTTTACCCTCCACAAGGGATCTCTGATGGGAGGCTGTAAAGGAGACAGAGCCAAACTCTTGGTTTGGTGGTCCCCAACAGGACAGGAAGGAAGGGAAACAAACAGGTACAGGAGCAGTTCAGTTCCCTCTGAACATAAGGAAGGATTTTTCCATGGTGAGGGTAGCCAAATAGTGGAACAGGTTGCCCAGAGAGGCTGTGTAGTCTCCACACTTGGAGATACACAAAGCCCAACTGGACAAGGTCTGGAACAACCTGCTCTAGGAAACTCTGCTTTGAGCAGAGAGATTGGACTAGACCATGTCCAGATGTGGCTTCCAGCCCCAGCTGTTCCATGTTTCTGATCTCCATTCTCTTTTCAAAGTTCCTCCCCAACCAACTAAAAGATAATGGGTTTTGTTTTCCTTAAAAGCAATTTTTTCCTGTTCCTCACTTGCCATCAGGAGCTCTGTCGTCATACAGCTACTCCTGCCTGCTGCCATCCCTCCTTTCTGCTTTCATCCCATGGAAATCAGCATTATGACACCTTAAAGTTGTTATATAAAGTTTATCAACCCCAAAGGGTTATTGCTCTTTCATCTCTCTTCTCTCACTTAGTAATTGACCATAGTATTGCTTTCCTATTGTCTAAAAATTGCTTAAAATAATATATTTACTTCGGTGTCAGGACTGAACTTCAGCTAGGTGATTCCTTAAACTGCTTGATCAGCTGGGTCAATGGAAATGGTTTTAGCATTCCCCTTGTCTCCTTTCATGAGTGGCAATGTTTTGTTTTCCTTACTCCTATAATTTTAGGACTAACATCTTAGAACTTGGAATTATTTATTACATAGTATGATCTGAACTGACTGATCACATGAAGATGAAACAGTGCTTTGGGGACTTTGGGCTTTTTTTAGCAGTCCTCACAACAGTTGTTTCTTTTTGTAAAGGAAACAAAACAAAGTCATGGAAAAAAAGTCTCAGACATTGCAGAGTTTGAATCCCCAGTGGGGATCAAATGAGTGACATGAAAGCATCAGAGAGCTCTTTATACCAAGATCTTGATGGAACTTCACTGCTGCTACTCAGGACTCCCTTTGAAAGTCTTGTTCTAGTCATGTTTTGCCCATGAATTCTGTAGACTAAACCCTAAAAATGTCCAGTGTCAACTGTGGCCTTTTTTACCAGAGCACACAGCTCTGCTGTTTGGCATTAACTCCATGCATGGTTGAGTGGCCCAGGCCATCTTCAGGTTTGAAACTCTGTGAATTATCTGCAGGCTCCACTGCAGAATTACATTTAAATTATGTTAAAAGGGGTCTCTTGCACTTCTGTCCCAGGAGAGCTTCTCATCAGCCTGATGGAGTTGCTTTTGTTCTGCTCTCTATTCATATGAAATAAACCCTTTGAAGCTGAATTAAACAAAAGCGTACAGATGACTTATAACATACTGTTGTTATCTCCATTTTCTTTTCCATGTCAGATTCCCAAATGGGATGCATATTTCAGGCTCTTGCATGGGTTTACTATTGCAGAAAGCTTCTGGGGCTGTAGGAAATGGTAAAAGACTCATTATTACATGGTGAAAGAAAAGATTATCCCTTCTGGAAAATATTCTAATCCATGCTATGTCTTGATGTCCACTACAGAAGCCAGGAAGAATGTCTAGTTTCACCTGTTGCCATCTCTAGAGCTGGCTGCATCTACAGCTTTTCAAATTCCATTTATTTATTACATTTTTCTCCATTGTGACTCTCCCGGGACTCTCAAGAGACTGGCAGCTGCTCCTCTGCAGCAGGGTTTTGCAGGAGAATCCTCTCCTTTCTGTGTTCTTTCAGTCCCAGCCTATTCCCAGTGGCCTGTTCCCTTTTGTGTCTTTCAGCCAGCAGTGGCCAGCCACCCACAACCAACTGCATTCATGCTCCTTCTTGCATCTGAAGTTACTGAATACTCCCTTGTTTGTCATGGAGGAGCCCAGGAATCCCCAGGCAGCCTTTTTGTGTCCTCAGCTACCCTTTTCTCTGACCACACACTCCAAACATCTTACAGCCTGACAAGGGCAAATTCACAGATCAGCTTGGTCTCCCCACTTAGCCCAGAATCCAGGCTGCAGAGATGGCAAATAACCCCCTTTTCATCCCTTCAGAGCTGACTGGGGGGCAGAGACTGCAGACGTCTCCTGTATCATCTCCAGCCAGGTCCAAATCTATCCCTTCCTACCACCACTCACTCCTGAGCTGTTCCTGAAAGGTCCAAGGTATCATTTCCAAAAGTATATCTGATCCACAGGTACTAAAAATGGTCTTTCTGCTTTCAGATTCTTTTTTCCAACTTCCAGGAAAGTCCTATTGACATGAGAATAAAAGATTAAAAGAACATTTGATTTCTTTGCCCATCCAGAATAGAGCAGGCCCAAGTCTGACTAGAAATTCCAAAGTGACATCTTCAAATAGGCTAGAACATAAAACGGTTGGGATAAAAAAAAAACAAAACAAAAAAATAACTCTCACAACAGAAATCTTAGTTTCAAGACCATGAGAACTCAAAGTCTAATGCAATTATTTGAAAGCAAAACATCCCTCTTTCCTTCTAGCAGGGAAAGCAATGTGCTCTGAGACAGATCTTTTGCAGTGAGCCAGATGGATGTGGTACAGTATCATGTGAATCTCTGCTCAGAGAATGGCAAGGCATACAGATGTTTCCTAAAGTCATTTTACATTTATGGATCAGGCACTTGTGATCTGTCAGCCCAGATGTCACCACCTAGACAGCATCAGAGGCAGAGGAAAGTGTGAGGAAGAAAGGGCTGTTGCTATTTGGAAGCTGAAAGTTGCTACTGTGCCAGCACCAGTGGCTTTAAACCTGTTCCTCCAACCATTCAGTCTCCTGCTCTTGCTGCTGCTGCTGAGGCAGAAAGACCTGAGCAGAAAACTCTTACATCTCCAAACCCCTTCACCACCATTTCTGGCTTGGCTGCTGCCACTGCAGCTTGCCCAGGCCTGGCTGGAGGGTGGCCCCTGTGCCATGGGGCACACAGATTGCCAAAGCCATTTGCCATCTCAGGTTGGAGATGAGCCCCCAGCAGCACAGCAGCAGGACTGAGGTGGCTGCTGGAAGTCAGATAAGAAAACCACCAATGCCCAGGTGGTAGAAATGCCCAGTGGCAGCAGAGTGTTCAGAGAAGCCTAAAGAGCTGTGGCACTGTAAATCCCTGATAAGGACAGGAAACCCCAGCTCTAGCCAGGCACCAGAGGAAAGAGCACAAGATGACATGAGCAACAAACAATTTCCAAGTTCCCCCTCAGTGGGATGAGACAGCTTGAGCTGGGCTGCTGCCTCCATGGCTGGGACAGCAGCCCAGGCAGAAGGTGCTGGGGCACACAAACCCTGAGCTGGGCACACAAACCCTGAGCTAGGCACACAAAAGCTGGGCACACAAAAGCTGGGCACACAAACCCTGAGCTGGGCACACAAGCAGCATCTCCAGGCAGCTTTTCCCCAGGTGGACCCCACCTGGCTCCCGGTCCTGCTCCTCCAGGGCTGCCCCCGAGAGCACGGGGCTGCTCCCCATCCTTCCCAAAGGTGTTTGCATCCATCACCCGCAGCTGGCCCGGTGCCGGGACTGTCCCAAGGATGCTCTGCCAGGGCTCAGAGACCCGAACCCAGCCGTGCCCCGCCCGGTTCCGAGCCCCCCGTGGGTTCGCTGATGCGCTCGGTGCCATTGCCGTGCACAGCCCAACCGGGCCGGTCTGGGACAGCGGCGGAGGAGCGGCAGGAGCCTTGCTCCGTGTCCTGTGCCCCGGGAAAAGCCCCCAGCCCTGCTCCCAGCCCCGCTCCCCGGGCAGCGCTGCCCTTTCCTCTGCTGCCTCCCGGCGGCACCGCCCGGGCTGCTCAGCATCACTGCTGGAACCCGCAAGGTTTGTGTCGAAGGGACCTGAAACACCGCCCAGTCCAGCCCCCTGCCATGGCAGGGACACCTTCCACTGGCCCAGGTTGCTCCAGGTTCAACCTGGAGTTGGGCAGCTCCAGGGATCCGGGGGCAGCCACAGCTCTGGGCAACCTGTGCCAGGATCTCATCACCCTCGGGGAGGAATTTCTTACTAATATCCCACCTAAACCTACCCTCCTTCAGTTTAAAGCCACTTGTCTATTTGTGACATGCCCTTATCCAAGGTCCCTCTCCAGCTCTCTTGCACTGGAAGGTGCTGTAGAGTCTCCCCTGTAAATATCACAGTGTTTCTGTTCAGGGACTTGCTTATCTGGTAGACCAAAGATGCTGAGTACAGCTGGTGGGCATTGCTCCATTATGGGACCCAGGAAACAGGCAGGACTTGCTGTAGCAGGTAGAGGTTGTGCACTGCCCTTCTCTGAAAACAAACAAAGAACTGAGGATAATTATTGGGCACTGGCTCCATGCATGGAATTCCCCTTGAGCTCAGCAGAGATAAGCCCATGACTGAAAAGGGTTGGTTCAATGTATCCTGTGATGCACTGGGATATAGTGTAGTGGGTGAGGGAAATATAATTTGGTATTTTTTATTTTTCCTAAGCACCTGTCCTTCTGAGGGAAAATTATTCTTACAAACATAAAAAGCAGAAACAAAAGAGCTGACACAAAGCCCATGGAACTTATGAATGTGCATCTTTATATGTTACTAGGGTATGTCAGACCTCCTCTTGAAAGTGTTCACTGAAAGCAGGCAAAAGAAGTGGTCTCTATTTTGACTGTAAATACTTTACAGCAGGTGACTTTCTGAGGATTTCACCAGCATGTAGAACAGTGCAGTCCTAATCCATTTAAATCCAGCTTTTAAGTAACAGGAGTTGCAACTCCTCTCTGTACTTCCCTATGGGCACATTCAAAAACAAGTGGAGATAAAAATATCTTTGTGGAGCTCTTGCTTTTCGGACACCCTCACCATTCCTGTTGGCACGTTTCAGCTCCTCACCAAAGACGTGAAGCAGCGGCTGGGATGTCAAGGGGAAGGTGCAGCAGAAGTGAAGAGACATCCCTTCTTCAAGAGCATGAACTTCAAGCGGTTAGAAGCAGGAATGCTGGATCCTCCCTTTGTGCCTGATGTAAGTACAATAGCAAGAACCTTCATTGGCCTCTTTTAAGAGGTTTGTTTCTAAAATAGCTTCTCTCTCCCAGGGCTCTCTTTGCTCTCTGCATGGGTAGCTACCCAAGGAAGGTGTGATAAGTGGCAGGGCTGGAGTGGGGAGGCTGGGAGGAAGAGGAGAGAGGGCTCTGTGGGCATGTGGATGCAGGCTGGTAAGCTGGGGCTTGATCCACTCCCACTCCACAATCTTCCTGTATGACACTGGAGGCACTGGGAGCCTCTGTATTCCCTTATCCACGTTATTTCTGTGAAAATAACTGTGCTCAGAACCAGGTGGTGCTTGGGACAATCAGCAGTGAAAGCCACATGTGTGCACACAGGTTTATAGAGGTGAAACCAGAAATACAAAGTCCAGAGCTCTGTGGAACTGGATCATCATGAGATCATGAGAACAGTAGTTTGCTGCAGAGAGTCTGAGCCAGGCTCAGCTATCAAGTGTCACCTCAAACAGAGAAGGTGACTTGGACCTGAGAGAGCGTTTGGAGCTTTTTTGGTGTTCATGGGGCTTGGAACCCAACACTGAGTCCTTACTCAGATTTACACACCAGGCTCACACATACTGAAAGTCTTTGTTGCATTGGCAACAACAAAACTTTTTCCACCCTTTTGTGGTATGGGTTTCTAGCCCAGTGCACAGAGTTATCTGATTATTTCCCTCCTGCAGGGCTCTCTTTCTGGCTGGAGCTTCTATCCTTAAAGTCCCCATATGGTTCTAAGTAAACACTGCTATTTTAACATATTAAGGAAAGTAACATCTTGGCAGCTCCCATATCCATTGCTGCAAGCTCAACCAAACCAAAGTGGTTTGAAAGCTACAAAAGTTTACTTTAGTTGCTCTGGTTTTGCTTTACATTTTACTATGTGGCCTAGTTATTCCTGCCAATTAGCCCGTGGTGTTACAACCTGCTTTAGTGGGAAGAAATAGGAGACAAGCTACTATTTCTTTCTGATGTAGAAAATTATAGAATTCTGGGCTCAAATTTGGGATCCGCCAGACTGCATAAAAACTGTAAGGCCTAGAAGGCATCTCTTAGAGACATAATTGCAAAAGCAAAGGCACATAAATTTTTATGGCTATTTATGGGGAGCTCAAGAACTGCCCCTAATTTAATTTATTTTGCACTTCATCCATAGATCCCCCAGTCTTTACTGAAGTCAGCTGAATCACCCAAAGCTATATAGCCAATGGCAGAGGTTGTTATCCAAACCATGTCTCTCCATGCTCTTCTGCATTACTCCATCTCCACAAAAATGTTGTGGATTGCAGCTGTCAGGAATGCAGAGGGATACAGCCTTCAGCAAATAGGACTTCTGTCAGGAATTAGGTCAGTTTGTTTGGTCACAGTGCTCAAAGCTAGATAAATGAGATACTGCACAGTTGGACCCCTGGGCTGTGCAGTCCTGGTGCAGACCATGCATAGACAGAAGGATTCCACACGTGCTGGGTCAGGCTGGTCCCACAAACCACCCCTCAATTATCCCTGTACACCAAAGGGTGGCTGTGCCCTTGATAGGAAATCTCTGGGCACACACACTGCTTGTGATAGGTAGCCACTGATGACTCTAGGTAGCCACTGATGACCCTTTCTGCTCCCTGGGGCTGGCTGCTGGAATACAAGCAGAAACTTGCATCACTGCAAAGAGTTTTGTCTCTGTCATCCCAGAAAATTAAGTTGTTCAAAAAGGCAAAGCCATTTGACTTTCTTTGAAGAAATGCAGCCAAGTTAAAAGAGTTAAGAGAGGTGATTCTGGGCAGCTTCCAGCAGCTGAGCTATTAATAAAAACAATGGAAAAATGCCAAACCTCCTCTGTTTTCTTTAGCAATTAGGATACATTCCTTTAAACTTTTAAGCTGCAAACTCCACAGCTATCTGGGCAGGAGGGCTCTTCTATCTGAGGCCTCTTTTCAGAGCTCTCTCCAGTGTGCCACTCGTAAACATTCTGGTTTTCTGTTGTTCCCCCTCTAAATGAAAAGACTACTGAAGGGTTCCATTTTTCTTTTCTGGCTCTTTCTGTCCTTTTCCTCTCACTTCTTAACCAGATAGCACATGGATGACTAAAACCTGCTTTGACTGATGCTTTGAGGACTTCAGAATAGGAAGCTTAATGTGCTTAAAGTGAAGTCAGCCTTTGATGATAAACATGCAGGCAGAGCAAGTCTGGAGAAGGAGGATGCAGACACACACTTGTTAGATATTCTCACTTGACTGAATCTGTGAATGAAAGCACATGGTCCGACTCAGAAATATTTTTCCTCTTGTCATTTCTCTTTTTTTTTTTTCTGCTGAACATAGCCCAGAGCAGTGTACTGCAAAGATGTGTTAGATATTGAGCAGTTCTCCACAGTGAAAGGAGTTAACCTGGACCAAACAGATGACGATTTCTATTCCAAGTTTTCCACAGGATCAGTGTCTATTCCATGGCAAAATGAGGTAAGGATGTGTCATAGCAAAATTACTGCAATAAACCTCATAACACAGATGGTTTGAGAGGAGCTCTATGTTTCCAGTAATATATAGCTACTGGATAACTTGCCAGACTCTAATGCTTTCATGAGTTACAAATGGTCTCTTTCAAGATCTGTAATGTACCACAGATGTCAGGTTCAGGTGACTGTATCTGTTGGCTCTGTGTGTTTGTGTAAATTGGCAAGGATCCTACTGTACTTCCTCCTCCTGGATTTCTACAGAGGTGTTTCAGCAGCTCTCAGCACCTTCTGTGGTACAGTGGAAATCCTTAACAGAAGGATCCTGCACTGGTGACCCTGCACTCACCCATTGTCTGCAGTCAGCCCCAGCTGCAGCAGTTCACTCTGGACCCTAAACTCCTCCAGAATTTCCATATCTGGGTCTTTGTTTCTGTTTGATATCAAAACAAGCCAACAGTGGATTTCAGAATCCAGCTCTGCATCAAACAGCAGATCCACTCGGTCAGAGGGGTGCTAATAAATAACTGGGATTTTGTGAGTGTGCCTGTCTTTGCCTGATATTCTCTATAGTGCTAAAGGAAAGAACAGAAAGTCTTGTGGGGCAGCTTTTGACAAGCGTGATGTGCAAACACACAGAGCAGACTCATCCTCTGTTTTTCATACACTCTACTTACCCTCTACAGACACCAGCAGGAATCCAACTGTTCACTCTCCTCACACACCGCTGACTTTGAAGAAACTGGCTCTATTTAGCGCAGATGAATAATTCCTTTTTTTTCCCTCTCTCTCACTATATTCCACTAGATGATAGAAACAGAGTGCTTCAAGGAGCTGAATGTATTTGGACCAAATGGTACTATTTCACCAGACCTAAACAAAAGCTACCCCCCAGAGCCACCCAAGAAAGGATTGCTACAGAGAATATTTAAGCGACAGGTGAGATCTTTTATGACTAAGACCAGGAAACTCCTGCAGATGCCTGGTTTCACAGCCCTGTTCTGGTGATACTTCTGCTAGGAGAAAGGCAGTGCGTCTTAAACAGGGCTGGCTCTCACATATCCCAACTTTTTCATCTACCTTGTGTGATATTTTTTTTTTTTTTGCCACCAGCAGTTCCAGTGTTGTTCGTGACTTTTGTTCCCAGCAGTTAAAAACTTCTTACCCAACCTACCTTTCAGTGGTATGCTGAAATGCCTTTTGAAACTGTTCTATGGTTTTAAGAAGTTTCTTGTGAAAATCCTTGATTTATGCATTTAAAAAAAAAAAAAAAAGGACATTTTGAGGGAGGTAGTCATGGCAGGAAACCAAGACAATAAAGAAGAGAGCAACCCAGATAAAATATGATGTGAACTTTCATGAGGCACCATGCACCACTTGCAAGTGTCAATAACATTTTTAGACTGGTCTCTCTGTAGGGTTAAAGCCATGCCTGGGCATTGGCAGGTATGCTCTGTATTAGTCAGATTTAGCAGATACTGACATTTTACAGTTAATTGTTTGGCTCCTGGAACTCAAGTGAGTCTTCTTTGCTGCATTCCTCAAGAACTGCCATGGTTCTGCTGACCTAGAGAGACTACAGGTAAGGAAGTGAAGAATATTTTGCATCCAAAGATCTTCAAACAAGAATCTTGTAGCCCAGTCAGTACCATGAAAGGAATAATGTTGGATTAAAAATAAAACCATAGCATATTATGGAAATCTAATTGTCATTTTCTTCCTACAGCATCAGAACAATTCAAAGAGTTCTCCAAATTCAAAGGCCAGTTTAAATCATCACATAAATTCAAATCATGTAAGTTCAAACTCCACTGGAAGCAGCTAGTTCCAACTCAGTCCTATGAAACAACATATTGCATCCTTCCACTATAATCTCTGGAGCTTCTGTGGATGAGAGAGCCTCCACCATTGAGTGAAAAAAAGAAAATCTGGATCTCCCAAAATGGAGATTTTCTATCCATTCCTTCCAGTGGAGCCTCACATTTTAAGAAGAAATTTCCACTCAGGTCTGTTTTTGGAGGTGGCACTCAAGACTGTGTGAATCAAATTTGTCTCTTTAGAACATTGCAATAGAAATTCAATGAACATGACTACTTGCACGTATTTAAATAGCATCATACTAGAACTGAATTTTGTCTTTATTATTTTTAAAGAAAAGTTTTGTAAATTTCTCTATTGTCTCAGTTTACATTTTGTACATTTGTATTTAAATGAAAGTCAGACTTTGGAGGTGTATATTTTCCAAGCAGCAGCTGTAAAGCCATGTGTTTTAAGACATTTTTTTAAAAGAAACAAAATGTGACTCAAGACTTCCAGAGCCTCAAACGAGAAATCATTCTTTTTAGCAATTCTAGAAAATTCTTCATAAATCACTTTATCAGACGGGGGTTTATTGACATGCATTTTTATGGAACAGTTTCTTCTTAATTATTTTACATCTGTATATTTGGTTTACAGCAACACTGCATACATTTCTCCTCTTCATTAGTTTGTAATGTCTCGCATTAAATGCTAAAAGACAAGATTTTGATGCATTCAAGAATGCTACTTGCTATGCTGAAGGTTTGTGATGTCTTGGGACCAGCACAGCTGAGATTTGCACTTATGTTTTTATTCCATCAAAGGCTTTTTAGTTAGAAAGGGAGCCCTGTTTTAAGCTCTTTTCCTTCAGTAGTGTTTGTGCTGTTTCTAACGACAGATAGAACAAAGCTGAGGGAGAGGTGACCAGGAAAGCAAATATCCATTTATTCTTCTAGGACTTCAAACCTGCACCTGCTGAAATGAGAGCAAAACTCAAAGTATTCCCCATGCTGCAGTCAAAAGCCCAAGGTCTTTCCACAGCTGCCCATATCAAAGAGGCAGCAGGAGAGAAGTCCAGCAGTCTGGTTTGTGCCAACCATGAGATTTGTGACAGCTTTGTAGAGCTGGGCTGTGGAGGTTCAGAGTGGGATCTGAGCTGCTTTTGGGCAGCTGCAGAACCCACAGGCTGTGCCTGCACTGAAAATAATTCCATGTGCCATGCAAACACCCCCTGACACATCCCCTCAGTTAGATCCTCAACTGAATGAAATGCCAGTATGAAATAATAACTCCCACTTCCAGCTCCATCATTCTTTGTTCAGGATCCTTTAACCATTGGCAAAAACTCTGTCCCCACTAGGATGAGCAGGATCAGGCAGGATCAGTAGCAGTACCTCAGGCATCAGAATCATGCTCTTCTCAAGTATTTCACTATTCTTAAGAACACCAGATAAAAAATGTGGTTACTTCCCTTCCACCAGGAATTGGAAAACCTTTGTGCCCCCAGCTGCAGGCAGGATTTCTACAGCCCAAAGTGTTCTGTAGAGTGTGTTGGTTCCTCATACTCTTTACAATGTTGGCTAGACTAGACTGATTTTTTAAACCTTTAGGTCTTCAGGAACATCTGAAAGCCACCCTGGTGTGTCTAAAATCCTGTTAGGCAGTAGTGGAGCTACCCCAGGGTCCAAGGAAGTGATGTTCCAGTGGGAGTCTTAATAGCCAAAATTCATTAAACTGCCCTGTGTATGTTCTGTGTGGCCAGTGCTGAGGGGGAAAAGGATGAAGGTTAGTAGAGGCAAATCCCTGAGTAAGAAACACACAGGAATTGCATAGTAGAGCAGCTTGAAGATGTGAGACAGAGAGGCAGAACAGGGACTTGCATAGAGCAGCTGACAGAGAAAAGTCAAGACAAGGAGATGAGGCTTCAGTCATTCTGCCATGGTGAAGATGGTGGCATTGCAGATCTTACAGAAGATGCAGAATTTTAGAGATTTTGCTAGTTTGGCATGTGAAGACTAAAATTTTCATTCTTCACCCTTTCCCAGTATTGAGAAATACCAGCAAATCCCTTAATGAATGCTGGTGAACAAATTGCAAATGTTGACTATAGGTGGTCCTATACCTTTTAGATGGTACCAGCCTTAACTGGTGGTGGATGACGTTTTAGGGACAGCAGGGAATGGCAGCATTTGTGCCTTGTCCTGCTCTCCTCTCAGCCAGGACATCCTCACTCAGCAGCTCTAGGACTCTGGCAGTGGGGACTGAGGGACAGTGCAAAGTCCTGGAAGGATGAGAGCATGCATTCCCCCTGGACACTTGGAGGATGTGATTCTGGGGTTGGATATCCTGCATTCTCAAGATGCCATGGAAGAAGGATGCTTATGTGCACCTGAAGGCATCAAGCCTGGGATGGAGCCCCTCTGAATCCCTCCTCCTTGGAGCAGGGAGAGAGGAAGGGCAGAGACAGAAATCACCACCAGTACAGGGAGAATTCATGCCATATCCATTGAGTGTCCTGCCTGACAAACTATAAACAGCATTACCATGCTGGGACAGCAGAACTTTTCAGCACCCAGCCCTGGAAGACTTAAAATCCATCAGAAGTGCTAATGACCAGTCCTAGAGATTTTCTTGTCCTGGTTTGCCCACAACAACAAAACCTGCAGGATTTCTTTTTTATTGCTTCTTATTTTTTGTTGGGATTTTTTTTTAAAAATTTTTTCGACTTAGCAGCACTCAGAGCTGGAGTAGGAGCACAGTTCTTGCACTTCCATTGTGTAACCAGGTGCAATCTGGACCCAGAACCCAGGGCTGAAGCCCTGTCAAGGCAGTGCCCTGCACAGCCAGGCTTCCACAGGCATTTGGCCATTGGCTCCATGGAGTCAAATTTAAAAACCACTGGGAACTCTGGAAAAAAAGCCTTACCATTTTGTCATACAACCTTGGAGAGCATTTGCAATGAGATTTTTAGTATGTTGATTCCAGGGGAATTTTGAGAGGGGTTTGCACGTAACAAATAAGTAGAAAGGAGTCGTTCTGTAATACCTTTCCAGATTGATTAGTTCTCTTTATCTCCTCTTCAATTACCAAAAAAATGCATATGCTCAGATCTGGTTGCTTGTTTTAAATAGACAGATGAGCAAACTTAGCTCTTTTTAAGAATCAGAAATATTTTGCAATCTGATCCTGAATTATGCAAGTGTACCTTTTATTTTTAAATCCTTGTCGAGTAGTCTGATGAACACTAATTAGTTGACAGACTTTCATGAGTCAGGTGTTTGCTTTTCATTTTCTACAGAGTCTCAAGGTTCACCTGAGTCTTGTAGCATTTTTTCCCACTGTTGGATGAGAGGCTTTTTTTAAACAAAGGAATAATGAAGGAAAAAAAATAATGGGCACTCTTGACCTGGATTATCTAAAAAGAGGTTTTTCACAAGAATGGCCATGACTCAGATGTTGTTTCTGAACAAAAAACCTGCTTGTGAAGCTGGGAAAGGTGTGAAGATAATCAAACCAAACAGGTAGTGCAGATCAAACTGAGCGTTAGGGAGCTGCAGAATTCAATATCGCAGCGTTCAGCTGGCCCTGCTGATTAGAGACTCCTGATTCCTGCCAGCTCAGAGACATAACAGCTCTCCATAAACACAGCTTGAGACCACCTCAATTTGCAGCCACCCCAGAAACTATGGCTGAGAGTGCCATCAGCAGAAGGAATCAAACTCGGCTGATCCAGTAAAGCAGCTGATCTGAAGACACGGATTCTTAAGGTCATTCACCCAGACCTCAGGATCCAGCTTGAATTCTTTGCTCACATTTCAAATCCAGTTGATCTTTTTCAGTGGCCATGCCTCAACTGAAAAATCCAACAGGGAATCACCCTGCAATAGTGGTAAAACCACAGGCAGCATGAGGAGGGCACACGAGCTGTGAGCTCTGGGGGACAGTGTGTGATGTCCCATGGTGTGTGAATCCTCAGCAAGGGTGCAGTGGCAGCTGCTCCCACCCTGCTGCACATTCTGCCTTGGGCTCATCCTGTGTTGGTCAGAGTTTCTGCAGTGACCTGGGAATTGCACACACAAGGGTCTGGCCCATGGAATGCTGTCCCTCTGAGGGTCAGAGGGGACAGCTGGGTGAGGCAAGCAGGAATCCCCCAGCCTGCATGGACAGCATCACCCAGGTCTGTGTATCCCAGCCTCAGGCAGGAGCTCCCTGCACAGGCTTTTCTGGAAGAGCAATAAATGCACAGCCCTACAGCACAGCTGCTTCTCACCAAAGTCCCTGGAACAGGTGGCTGCAGGAACTGGCTGCATTGTGAACAAGATGTGGGTGTTTTCACCCCTGCTCCACAATTAGTGGTGATCATTGCTTTGTTCAGTTAATATTTGTCATATTCACTTCGGTCACTCAGATGATCATTTGTCAAGCATTTCTCATGCAATCTTTGGAAATAATGGATTTTTCTTTGGAAGAGCATCCTTTCTGTCTCTTGGCATGTGAACCATCTCCCATCATGTGGAAGCCTGCAGGAGCTCTAGAAGTCCATAATTGAAGGCTCTCCTGCCCAAGGATGGTCCCAGTCTGTCTCAGGCTGCAGGGAGGTTCATGTGGCAGTGAATTTTGGAAGAATCAATCTGTTCAGTGGCTCCATGGAAACCAGGAGATTCCAGAGTTGTGTCTATCTCAAGCCTTTCACAAATATGATGTTTAACTTAAAATACTACTGAAGATTTAGAGTAAGGAGAATAATTATTAACACCCTCATGCTAAAGTTAAGAGAAAGTCTACAGTTTAAAACATCTCTTTTGTGTGCTGGGCAGGACACACTTCCTTTCATGCTAAATAATATTGGAGTGCTGGCTGGTAATAATTGTCTTTCCTTAAATGCAAAAACCGAAAAGATAAAGAAATTGGTTCAGAGAATTTTTAAATTATTTCCTTTAGGGAAAATAAAAAATTTCATCAAAGAAGGTGAAAGCCAACAATATGCTACAGTATTATGGGCTGACCTCCCCCAAATGTCTCTGTGATAATACAAATACAATCTGCTGCAGTTGGATCAGCTAAGCTGCTGTACTGACAAATGGGCTTTATGAAAGAAACAATTTTAAACAGATTGCTGCCTATTCATTAACATGAATATTACTGCTGGCACATATGTATTCTCCTTGCTTTATGTACTGGAGCCAGGAGTGATGGTTTATATTCCTATTCTGACTGTGTTTTTCCTCACTGCCCTGGGCAAACCTCTGTGCAATTTTGTTTTCCCATTCCCAAATATGGAGGGATGCTCTGTCTGTCAATGGAAAACACTTTGGAGTCTGTGCATAAACCAGATCAGTATCAACTCTTTGTATTATTATTTAAATGAAATAGGCTTAGTGTAGCTGCTCTTTATTTACATGACTAGTGAGACGACTCTCCTAAATTAGGACTCTTTTTATTATTGGTTTGTCTTAGTTCCTTAGAGATACTGAAACAGAACAAACTGCACTTCTGTAAGACATCTCCAGCAGACAAAGAGGTGACAGTGCAAATGTTTAAGTATTCATTTCTTGCTGAAGAGCTGGCCAGTAATGGTGGCACTCACATGAAAACACTTCCTCTGCTTTTAGAATGGAGGTAAATAGTTATGAGGAAGGGAACAAAATAACATTCATTGGTTCAACTTTTTTGGCCAAGCCTGCAAAGGATTCCCCGGGTACCCACTGAGTGAGGTGCTGTGTGAAGTCCCAAAGGTGCATCTGTGGCAGAATGGGTCTGGAAGCAAAAGAGGCAACAAGCCTGGGCTCAGTGGGCTCCGAAGGGGAACTCCAGGTTTTCTGGAGCAGTCCTGTAGAGAAGATTCACTCCCAGAGAAGAAACATCTCAGGTAGTGGCTGGATGGC